GTTAAAATTGTGAGGTTCCTTGAAATCTAACCTAGGAAAACTAAAGACGCCACGAAAATCTGTCTCAGAGTTCTGAGATCAACAGCAAGGGAGTTAGATTCACTGGGATCTAACACCTTTTGTCTCTTCTTCTTTAGAGACAACTGCAGGTGAGGAGGACGGTTCTGCAAATTGTTGTCCATAAATTATCTCGGGGCCTTCATTATGCTCCAGAGAGAGAGAGAGGAAACCTCTGGCCAGTTGGAATCCTGCCCACCTCCCTTCATTTTGCAGAAGAGATTTATAGTTTGGCTCCTTCACATCAAACATTTCTTCAGCGTTCCCATATTTGAGGTAGAGGGACCCAGAGAGAAGGCAGAAACAGCCGCATGGAGTAAGGAGTAAGGAGGATCACACCTGGAATATTGCATCCAGTTTTGGTCCCCAGATTGTAAAAAAAAAAAAAAAGATGTTGAGACTCTGGAAAGAGTGGAGAGAAGAGCAACAAAGATGTTTAGGGGACTGGAGACCAAAACAAGCACAAGGTCTGGTCCAGATCATCGCTGGGAATCTGGATTGACTTGAGAGAGTCTTCCACGATCACATTTAGAATATTGCATCCAGTTTTGGTCAGCATGTTATAAAAAAAGATGTAGAGACTCTAGAAAGAGTGCAGAAAAAAGAGCAAGAAAGGCGATTAGGGGGCTGGAAGCTAAAACATGGAAAGAATAGTTGCAGGAATTGCAACTTCTGTAGTGAAAAGAAGGACTAGTCCAGGGGTCTTCAAACTTGGCCCTTTTATGACGTGTGGACTTCAACTCCCAGAATTCCTCAGCCAGCGTGCACGCTGGCTGAGGAATTCTGGGAGTTGAAGTCCACACGTCATAAAAGGGCCAAGTTTGAAGACCTCTGGACTAGGATAACATAATAATAATAATAATAATTATTATTATTTATTTATTTATTTATTTATTTTTTGGATTTATATCCCGCCCTTCTCCCGTAGGACTCAGGGCGGCTGACAATCTATTTAAAATACATACAAAACAATACAAATTTAAAATTAATTAAAAGGAATATTTAAATATTTGTCGAATTTTAAAATATAATTAAAACCCCCCTAAAAATTACCCTAGGCCAGTCCTGCANGCTATCATGTCCCCCCTCGTCCTTCTCTTCATTAAACTAGACATCCCCAATTCTAGTAGCAGTCTTCCGATATTTGACAGGCTGCCTCAAAGAAGAGGGAGTCAAGCTGTTCTCCAAAGCGCCTGAAGGCAGGACAAGAAGCAACGGATGGGAACTAATCAAGGAGAGAAGCAACCTGGAACTAAGGAGAAATTTCCTGACAGTTTAGAACAATTAATCAGTGGAACTGCTTGCCTCCAGAAGTTGTGAATGCTCCATCACTGGAGGCTTTCTGGTGGAAAAAAAAGGACTAGGGAATTGGTCTACCAGAAGACTTCCAAAATCCCTTCCAGCTATGTTCTCCTGTAATTCTGCCATTTATTTCTTGATTAAATTTATGTAGCCGCCCAGCTCTGTTGCACTCCACGTTTTTTCATGGCTATTTTACCTACCACCGTCGCAGCCCAAACCGGATCCCTGCTTTCTGTTTTAAAATATTGAGGATGACCTATTTATTGTTTGCTTGGACAGTGCCCAAGAAAACTTTGCTGGAGAAAGACGATGGTTTGAGCAGCTCCTGAGAAAGATGTCATGCTTTGAGGTCCCGGAAATGCAAGAGAGATATAAAAGCTATTAAAGAGGCTGTTAACAACCATAATGGACCATTTTCTTGGTCGGTGATTTAAACGTTTCTCCATCTGAGCGAGCTTGTATTAGCCTCACTGCGGAGAGTGGCCAAGTTTTATGGCAGGCTTTGGCAAGACAGGCAGCTTGAGAGTGAATGTGCCAGGATATCAGACCTGGGAGAGCACAAGCAGTCCTTGACTTAACAATGGTTTGTTTAGTCAGTGGCCAAGACTCTGAATTTTGATCACGTGACCTTGGGGAGGCTGCCACGGTCGTAAGTGTGAACAATCACTTTTTTCAGTGCCGTTTGAAGTGACGACGGTCACGTGAAACAAAATCCAGACGCTTGAGTGACTGTTTGAAGTTACAACGGCAGTGAAAAAAAGGGACTTACGGCCATTTTTCACACTTACAGCCGTTGCAACATCATGTAATTTGCCTTTGGAACTTTGGCAACTGGTTTGTATTTATGACAGTCGTAGTGTCCCGCTGGGGGTCACGGGATCCCCTTTTTGCGACCTCCTGACAAGCAAAGTCAGAAGCCGGAATCAGTTAACAGCCGTGTTATCAGGGGAAGGCGGAATCAGTTAACGGCCATATTATCTGGGGAAGGCGGAATCAGTTAACAGCCATGTTATTTGGAGAAGCCGGAATCAGTTCATGGTCGTGTTATCTGGGGAAACCGGAATCAGTTCATGCCCGTGTTATCTGGGGAAGCCGGAATCAGTTAACGGTCGTGTTATTTGGAGAAGCCGGAATCAGTTAACGGCCATGTTATCTGGGGAAGCCGGAATCAGTTAACAGCCATGTTATTTGGGGAAGCCGGAATCAGTTAACGGCCGTGTTATTTGGAGAAGTCGGAATCAGTTCATGGCCGTATTATCTGGGGAAGCCGGAATCAGTTCATGGCTGTGTTATCTGGGGAAGCCGGCTTCACTTAACAACTGTGTCAAGTATCTGCACTACACAGCCTTCTGAATTTGGGGGGAATTGGGACAATTTCAAAGGGGCCGAGCCAGGAAGAAAGAGTCTGAGCTAGAAAATAATGTGTGATCCCTAAATACCGAAAAATAGGAATAGAAAGAAAAGCAAATATTGAAGATGCTGAGGGAAAACGAAGGGGTGTGTGGGGCCTGAAGTGCGATGACTATTTTATTTTTCTCCTGGTGCCTTTTAGGTGTACAGCGGGCCCCCCAAACCTCTCCTGCCTGTCGCCATGCCGAATCCTGCCCTGCCTGCTGTTCAAACCCCTTTGGCGCCAAGCTGTCCCGGCCGAGGCAAGATGGCAAAGCTCCTGAATCCAGAAGAAATGACCTCGAGGGATTATTACTTTGATTCGTACGCTCACTTTGGAATCCATGAGGTAATCGGTCCCGGAGGCTGAGTGTTTGGGGAACAAGGCCCAGAACGGTGCGACTGAAGCTGAAACAACTTTTTCAGCCACGTCCCTGGAATCCATCTGGAGCCATCTGACTTTTATAATAATAATAATAAAGTTGGAAGGGACCTTGGAGGTCATCTAGTCCAACCCCCTGCTCAGGCAGGAAACCCTACGCCATTTCAGACAAATGGCTGTCCAGTCTCTTCTCAGTGTAAAGACAAGCAAGATTTTACGCTTAGGCAAAGAAAACCAACTTCACGGGTATAGAAGAGGTGGTACCTGGTACCGATAGTAGTAACTGTGAGAGGGATCAATCAATCAGAATAGAGTTGGAAGGGAGCTAGGAGGTCTTCCAGTCCATCCCCCTGCTCAAGCAGGAGATCCCATGCCATTTGAGACAAGTGGCTGTCCAGTCTCTTCTTAAAAACCTCCAGGGATGGAGCACCCACAACTTCTAAATTTTTCATACCTTTTACAGAATAACAGAGTAACAGAGCTGGAGGGGACCGTGGAGGTCATCTAGTCCAACCCCCTGCTCAGGAAGGAGACCCTATACTATTCCAGACAAGTGGCTGTCCAGTCTCTTCTTAAAGACCACCAGTGATCGAGCATCCATAACTTTTGGAGGGAAGCCGTTCCGCTGGTTAATTGTTCTCACTGTTAGGAAGTTTCTCCTTAGTTCCAGGTTGCTTCTCTCCTTGATAATTTTCCATCCATTGTTTATAAAATCAGGGGGACTAACAACCCCTTGAATTCTGGTCCCAATTATGATTGTAAACAGAGGACTATCTGTGATAGAACTTGCCTCTCATCAGCTTTTCCAGGAAGGTTTACATTACCATACTGGTAAATTCTCCTTGGAATCGCTGAGTAGGTTGTAGACTTGGCCTCGTCCCCTAAACCTCTCAGTACTGGGAAATCTGCCTTCCAAAAGAGCTTTCTCTCTCTCTCTCTCTCTCTGTTTGTGTATAATTTGGTCCCGCTGGAATCTCTTTCTGGCAAAGAGTTGAGCGGTCTTTCCATCGCAGAATCCAGCCGAAGTCTGAAGCTCCGCTAATCTTTGTTTTTCTGCTGAAACTCTTGATACGTTGTTGAGTCAATGTTTAGTCACTGTGTTCTCCCAAGTTAGCCAATTGTGTTAAAACAAGTCTTGGCAGTATAATTATCGCTAGCTGCGTCCAAGGTTGCTTTTCAGAAGCAAACGCAAAACAAAAGTCTGAATGCTTTGGGTTTTTTTTTAAATTCAAAATAGACGGTCTCAGTTGACTTTGGATCTACCCATTTTTACCCTGGCAATCGGTGGAGGATGCAGGAAAGCTTCTGGTTTGGCAGCAGGGGAGATAAAATGTGATTTTTATTCTCCTGCGCAAATAAATTCAGAAGCTCCTTTACCAAACCTGTCCTCGGGCTTGCTGTTGTGTAGATGAGATTCCCCGGGGGACGTCATCTGAAAAGAAGATTTCGAGACGCGTTTTGAAGAAACAAACAAATCGCAGCCGCGTTTTTGCAGAATCAATATAGGTCACCGCCCGTAAGCAGCCGGAGATACGGAATAAGGAGGACAGGCTTCACAAATTCACAATAGCTGTCTGGAGTGAGCTGCTGTCAGCCTGTGATTTTTCCACCAGCATTTATGGGGCGCTAAGTTTCTTCCCGAACACAAGTTCCAAAGATGCTTTTCCCTCCCCCCAAAGTCTGTGGAGATTCTCAGTCCTTCAGCTCATGTTGTTAGTTGCGAAGTCATATCCGACCCATCGCAACCCCATGGACCACGTTCCTCCAGGCCTTCCTGTCCTCTGCCAATTTCTGGAGTCCATTGAAGCTCAGGCCTCCTGCTTCAGTGACTCCATCCAGCCACCTCCTTCTCTGTCGTCCCCTTCTTCTCTTGCCCTCCATCTTTCCCAGCATCAGGCTCTTCTCCAGGGAGTCCTTCCTTCTCATTAGGTGGCCAAAGTACTTGAGTTTCAACTTCAGGATCTGGCCTTCTAAAGAGCAGTCGGGGTTGATCTCCTCCAGGACTGACCGGTTGGATGGACTTGCGGTCCAGGGGACTCGCAGGAGTCTTCTCCAGCACCATAGTTCAAAGGCCTCCATTCTTTGGCGCTCAGCCTTTCTTAGGGTCCAACTTTCATAGCCATACATTGCAACTGTCATAGTTATCCCAAAATATGTTTTTTTTCACGAGGCAACTGGACTTCCTTTGTTTTTCTTTGAAGACGTTTCGCTTCTCATCCAAGGAACTTCCTCAGCATCCACCATCCAGTCAGAGCTGAGGAAGCTTCTGGGATAAGAAGCAAAACGTCTTCAAAGAAAAAACAGGAAGTCCAGTTGCCTCCTGAAAAAAGCATCTTTGGGATTTTTTTCCCCCCAAAAGGCAATTAGACTTTCCTGATTTTTTTTGTTTTTCCTTTGAAAACATTTTGCTTCTCATCCAGGAAATGTCTTCGGTTCCAACTGACTGCTGAAGAAGGAAAGGATTTATACTTGACTTTATACTTTATTGGGCCAAAGGTGCTTTTTTTTTCAAAAGCCAGCTGGACTTTCTCTGTTTTTGCTTGAAGACCTTTCGCTTCTCATCCAAGAAGCTTCTTCAGTTCTGAAGAAGCTTCGGTTCCAGATCTGAAGAAGCTTCTTGGATGAGAAGCGAAATGTCTTCAAGGAAAAAACAAGAAAGTCCAGTTGCCTCTTGGAAAAAGCACCTTTGGGACAACCAAGACCTGGATTGACTGGGAATTTCCATATACATTTATTTTGGTCAGGTGTGGTTAGACACACAAGGAATTTGTCTCTGGTACAAAAGCATTCAGTCTACAACTGAAATAATAATAATAATAATAATAATAATAATAATAATAATAATAATAATAATAATATGATGATGATGATGATGATGATGAGCACAAACAGTAGAAGGTAGAAACAGTAGGTTAATAAAAGAATAAATAATAATACAGCCACACTCTATGGGTTAATATACAAACACATTAGACAGAAGTTAGTATATTCGTTGTGGTCATCCAGTTGTTAGCACTCATTAGCAGAATATAAATAATAATAATAATAATAATAATAATAATAATAATAATAATAATAATAATAATAATAATAATAATAATAATAATAATAATAATAATAATAATAATAATAATACATTTGGATAGTGGACCTGGCAGTCCCTGGAGACAGCAGAATAGATGAGAAAGAACTGGAGAAGATAACAAAATACAAAGACCTACAAATAGAAATAGAAAGACTGTGGCAAAAGCAAGCAAGGGTCGTACCCATAGTAATAGGCACCTTGGGTGCAATCCCAAAACAACTGGAGCACCACCTGGACACCATCATCGGCATTGACAAAGTCGCCATTAGTCAATTGTAAAAGGCGGCCTTACTAGGAACCGCTTCCATCCTGCGACGAGATCTGTAATACCATCAAACATCCACGTCTGCCTATCCCAGGTCCTTGGGAAGGACTCGAGAGGTAGACAAAAATGCCAAATCCAGTCTGAACATCTGGCTGACTATGTGATGATCAATCATCATCATCATCATCACCACCATCACCACCACCACCACCACCACCACCACCACCACCACCATCATCATCATCATCATCATCATCATCATCATCATCATCATCATCTCTTCTTAAAAACTTCCAGTGTTGGAGCATTCACCGCTTCTGGAGGCAGGTTGTTCCACTGGTTAATTGTTCTGTCAGGAAGTTTCTCCTTAGTTCTAGGTTGCTTCTCTCCTTGATGAGTTTCCATCCGTTGCTTCTTCTCCTGCCTTCGGGCGCTTTGGAGAATAGCTTGACTCCCTCTTCTTTCCATTCCCCACCAGTCAGAACCAAAAAAGCTTCTTGAATGAAGAGTGAATTGTTTTCAAAGGAAAAAAAAACCCAAGAAAGTCCCATTGCATTTTGGAAAAAAGCACCTTTGGGACAGCCATGACCTGGAGGAGTGTGAATCAGACAAGTGCCTGGAGGCTGTGGCAGGAACGCTCAGCTTTAAAAAAAATAAATTCCCTTGTCTGGGTTGCTGCTAAGAATTCAGAGCACCTTCCCTGAACGTTGCAGAGGAAATCTACTCTGCAAATAAAGAAGTTAATTTAAAATATTTTGGGGACATCGACACACTTCTCTCTAATTGCTCATTAATTGCCAGAACTTGAAGAAGAAGGAAAAAAAAAGAGATGGCATTTCAGTGAGAGTTTGAATGGGCGACCCTGAAGGGCAAGAGAGACATTTACTGTAAGTTGTGAGAAAAATGAAAACTAACAAGATGTGGGCTCATTGTTAATGGAGCAGAATCAGCCAGCTGAATGCAACCTTAACACACAATAGGTGAGAACAGGTTTTAGTGTTGTGTCTCTTTCATCCCCGGGGCAAGGGGGCCCTCCTGTTAGAAATGGGCAGGAAAGGTCTGTCGGAGATCTTGGAAGTAAAATGGCAGTTAGACTAAGATGGAGTCAGTGTAAGAGAGGTAAACAAGAGGCTTTTTCACCTGAGATGGTGTTGCCTACAGTTGGCTTATTCCAGGGGGGTCTTCAAACTTGGCCCTTTTATGACTTGTGGACTTCAACTCCCAGAATCCCTCAGCCAGCGTGCACGCTGGCTGAGGGATTCTGGGAGCTGAAGTCCACACGTCATAAAAGGGCCAAGTTTGAAGACCCCCCTGGCTTATGCTTTAAGGCAGGGCATCTCCAACCGTGACCACTTTAAGACTTGTGGACTTCAACTCCCAGAATTCCACAGCCAGCCATGTTGGCTGGGGAATTCTGGGAATTGAAGTCCACCATTCTTAAAGTTGCCAAGTTTGCAGACACCCCCCCCCCACTCCAAGGCACCAGAGGGCAGAACAAGAAGAATAGAATAGAATATTTATTTATTTATTTATTTATTTATTTATTTATTTATTTATTTATTTATTTATTTATTATATTTATACCCCGCTTTTCTCCCGTAGGACTCAGGGCGGCTTACAGCCAGTTTAAAAACAACTAATACAATACAATACAAAATTTAAGAAAATGATTAAAAATAAATATTTAAATAGGCCGCTTCTACTAAAATTTAGTTAAAACCAATTTAAAATACTCCTAGGCCAGTCCTGCCCGCTGAAACAACCAAGTCTTGAGGGCGCGGCGGAAGGAGGGGAGATCCGGAATCACCCGGATCTCTGGGGGCAGCTCGTTCCAGAGAATATAGAATAGAAATACAGAATAGAAATACAGAATAGAAAAGAATAGAAATGCAGAATAGAATAAAAATACAGAATAGAATAGAAATATAGAATAAGAATAGAATAGAATAGAAATACAGAATAGAAAAGAATAGAAATACAGAATAGAATAGAAATACAGAATAGAATAGAAATATAGAATAAGAATAGAATAGAATAGAAATACAGAATAGAAAAGAATAGAAATACAGAATAGAAAAGAATAAAAATACAGAATAGAATAGAAATATATAACAGAATAGAAATACAGAATAGAAAAGAATAAAAATACAGAATAGAATAGAAATACAGAATAGAATAGAAATATATAACGAATAGAAATACAGAATAGAAAAGAATAAAAATACAGAATAGAATAGAAATACAGAATAGAATAGAAATATAGAATAGAATAGAAATACAGAATAGAAAAGAATAAAAATACAGAATAGAATAGAAATACAGAATAGAATAGAAATATATAACGAATAGAAATACAGAATAGAAAAGAATAAAAATACAGAATAGAATAGAAATACAGAATAGAATAGAAATATAGAATAGAATGGAATAGAATAGAATAGAATAGAATAGAATAGGATCTTGGAGATCTTCTAGTCCAGTCCCCTGCTCACAAAACGGGATCCTGTGACCCCGGGACATTGCAACCCATCGTAAGTGTGAGTCAGTTGTCAAGCATCTGAATTTTGAGCACGTGACCCTGGGGATACTGCCACGGTCCTAAGTGTGGAAAAAAACCCCCAAACAATCTTCACTCCCCCTTTTTCAGTGCCGTTGTAACTTCTAACAGTCACTCAACAAATGATAGCAAGTCAGGGACCACCGTGGAATTAGTGCCAGCAGAACCCTCTAAATTTGGAGCGGCAAGCAGTAATGGGATCGATCACCTGAAGGCAACTTTTTATTTATTAAAGCAGAGGTCCCCAACCTTTGGGGCACCAGGGACCGGTTCCGTGGAGAGAGGTTTTTCCCGCGGACCGGAGGGGGTGCGTGGTTTTGTGTGCTGCCTGCATCCCACGGATGGGGCCTGGCTTGTTTGTGCGGACCGGTTGCTGGCGTGCCGCGGCCCGGTACCGGTCCACGGAACCGGGGGTTGGGGACCCCCATATTAAGGCGTGTTAGCTGAATTCAGAGGCCGGGCATTCAGCTAGAGAATAGAATCGCAATGTGAAACTAATTAGAGTCCTAATCCTCTAGATATTCAAGATATTTTAAGCCTGATCTCGGTTACAGTTTTGCTTCTCGGGGAGACAGTGGATGCAACAGGATAAAAGGAAATTGGGCTTTGAAGTCGGATCTCACTGATGAAGGCATTTGCGTTGCCATGGTAGAGAAACCCTCGGCGTTTGCTCGGAGTTTACAACCATCTTTTGCTGGTTCCGACTGGAGAGGTTTGAAAGCATGTCGGTTCCTATTTTCCTCTGACCGGACGGGGTCTCTCTCTCTCTCTCTCTTTTTTTTTTTTTTAAACCCAGGAAATGCTGAAGGACGAGGTGCGCACCTTAACCTACCGAAACTCCATGTATCACAATAAGCACGTCTTCAAGGAGAAGGTGGTGCTGGACGTGGGAAGCGGCACCGGCATCCTTTCCATGTTCGCTGCCAAGGCCGGAGCCAAGAAGGTCTACGGGGTAAGGAGAGGCGATGCCAGCCGTGGTTCCCTTTGGGCAGCCGGCCCTTTCCCACTGGCTTTCCCAGGCTGCGCTCCCAACCATCGGGCCCTGGGGAGGTCGTCTAGAAGGGTCCTAAGATGGGAGGGGGGTAGGTCCTTTGGTGCCTGGTCTTCCTTCCTTCCTTCCTTCCTTCCTTCCTTCCTTCCTTCCTTCCTTCCTTCCTTCCTTCCTTCCTTCCTTCCTTCCTCCCTCCCTCCCTCCCTCCCTCCATTCATTCCTTTCCCACAGCTCCAAACACTTCCTTGATTTTAAACCTCAGTGTACTTAAGACTTGGATTCCAGCCATTGGGATGTTCCTGAATACTTTGNTCCCTCCCCATTTCTCCTTCCTTCCTTCCTTCCTTCCTTCCTTCCTTCCTTCCTTCCTTCCTTCCTTCCTTCCTTCCTTCCTCTCCCTCCCTCCCTCTCTTCTTTCCCTTCCTCCCTCTCTCCCTTCTTTCTCCCTCCCTCCCTCCTCCCTGGCTGGGGAATTCTGGGAGTTGAAGTCCACCCGTCTCAAAGTTGCCATGGCTGAGATTACAGTTGGATGAGAGGAACTGGAACACTCCCGTGTATTTCTGTCCACATCAGTTGCCATCCTTTCTTTGAATTCATTCCGGGGTGTCCAAACTCAACACCTCCAAAGACTCCAACTCCTAGAATGCTGGTTGAGGAATTCTGGGAGTTGAAGTCCCACAAGGGCTTAAAGTTGCCAAGCTTGGAGACCCCTGCACTAGACAGCAACGTGAGATGGGAAAGCCTTCCGAGAATGTTGGGTGGCTACAACGGACTCTCTGGAATAAGCTTATGATTTCTGCCGATGCAATTTGATTCCTCTGAAATGCTCAATGTTGAACTTTCTTTATTTCTCCTCTCTCTCCTGCAGATTGAATGTTCCAGTATATCCGACTACTCTGAAAAGATCATCAAGTCCAACCACTTGGATCAGAGTAAGACTTTTCCGATGAAGATCAGTTACATCTGCCGCTTCCGTTTTTCCTTATGTTCAGTTTCTCCATTGATGCTTGGTAGATGGGCTTTTACAGCATTGATGACGTAAAGACTTACATTTTTTTAAAAAATATTTTTTTATTAATAATACAAAATCAAAAACACATTGGACATAGATATGACGTCACTGGTTCCATACATCTTCCAACATTTTACAATAGTATTAGTACTCGTATAGACATATAGTTTTTGAACTTTGCTCACTATTTATAATACACTATTAACACTTTTTTCCTTATTTCTATATATCTATTTATCTTTTAAATATACATTTGTCTATAATCTATATTTTATTCTAGCACTATACGTTTATCTTGGCTACCCTCTTATTGTCTATCCAATCATAAAATTGTTCCCAGATTTTATAGTACTTGGTTTCACTTTTCTCCTTACATTTTCTACGTCGTTCCAAACGTTAAACCTTGTAGATTATCCCTCTTTCTTTTCCTTATGGAAGTGAATTCAGTAAAAGTGACTTAATTATTCAAGTGATCTGCCCTTTATGAGATGGAAGTGGTCTAGAGGTAGACGACATTGCTAAATAAATTACTTAATTTTGGCAACGATTATCTAACTTTTCCTAGGGATAAAAACTGCTGAGCTTTTGTGGCATCCAGTATTTGAAGGATCACTCTGGATTTCTGGATTTAATCCCTCTGACCTTGTCTTTTTTTCTTGGTTTCACTAGTACAGGGGTCTTCCAACTTGGCCCTTTGATGACTTGTGGACTTCAACTCCCAGAATTCCTCAGCCAGGCACGCGTGCCTGGCTGAGGAATTCTGGGAGTTGAAGTCCACAAGTCATCAAAGGGCCAAGTTGGAAGACCCCTGTACTAGATTAATTTTGCAGACAAGTATTATTTTATTATTTCATTATTTTACCAGTGCAGACAAAAATAGGAAGACCGATCAGACCTTTTCCGTCCATTCGTCTAAAGTTTGCTTTGAATATTTTTACGACATTTTAAAATTCTTTGCTCTTATCCTAAGTGTTACAAAGCCTCCGTAGTTGTTGCATCTCACTTAGGTTTTCCTTTGAACAACTTCGTATGGGTCTCTGTTAAGCTTCCTTGTGTTCTTTTTCGGTGCATTTCTGCAGCCTACCAACCTCATTTGAGTTGTGTTACTTTCTCCTAGAACGTGGGCTGACCCACACTCTCTTGTGTCATCTGCCATTTTGACAAGCATTCCCTCCATCTCCCCATCTGTGAAAGTGCTGGAGAAATGAGGGGCCC